GTTCTTAAGCTTCTTCTTGTCTATATATAGATTTACTTTAATATCTTTCTCTTTAACTAGCTTAGGTAGCTTTTTACTAACTATACCCCTAGGGATCTTCTCTCTAATAGCTAGTAATATAGGACTAAGCACTATAATAACCTAGTTTTTCTCTACTACTAGATTACCTACTACTACCTTATTTATTATATAGGTAGCTATAGGCGCCCTCTTAATATATTAGATTATTATATTTAGGTTATTTTTACTATAGTGTTTAGTCTACTAGCTAGGCTAAATAAGGTAGTATATAGGTGCTCTATAGCTAGCTTTTATATTATAAATACCTTATAGTATATAAGTATAAGGCACTATACCTAGCTTTAAAGCTTAGCCTTGCCTTTAGCCTAGTAGTATATTAGCCTTATTAAGGTTATTACTAGGCGCACTAGCGTATATATCTTAGAATCTATCTTTAGCTATTACCTTTAGGGTTTAGCTACCTATATATAGTAAAAGTATAACTTTACTTTTTTTTACTATAACTTTACTATTACCTTTAGTTAGGCCTATATTATAACTTTTTACCTTATATTCTACACTAGGTTATTTCTTAACCTTAACTTTTATATACTTAATAAGGAGTCTACTTACCTTCTATAAGTAATTAAACTTAACTAACTTTATCTAAGGGAACCTAACTATAATAATAGTATTATACTAGACTACCTAGTGCTACTAGATTACTAAGACCTAACTACCTTAGGATAGCTATATACCTAGTTCTATACTAAGAATAGTATACTATTACCTTAGTAAGCTAGGTGTCTTCTACTTCTTAGCCTTGTTATAAGAGAGGAGGAGGACTAGGCCTAGGGTTTATAGCTTAGTGTAAATAATATAAAATAGAAATATACTTTTTCCTAGGCGTATATCCCTCTAGGAGACTTAATTAAGTAGTAGTTATATAATATATAGTCTATACTTAGGGGTATAAGGTATACTATCTAGCTTAGTGTCCTTTATTTTTTACTTACTGCCTTACTTATATTATATATAGATAGAGGTATATAGTAGCTAGGATAAGTTAGTCTTGCCTTATAGTATAAGGCTTAGTAGTACTCTTAGGCTTAAGGTTATATATATCTATAGATACCTATATAGTTTTCTTCTCTATACTATCTATAAATAGTATAGAGAAATCTATATAGCTAATAGCTATATAGTGTATAGATTTTATAAGTAAGTACTAACTATAAGGTAAATAGTTAACTTTAAGTAGATGTTTTTATAAGTAAGTCTAGGTGTTATAGTTATAGACTAGAGTTAAGTATAGGTATTCTAGATATCTAAACCTATTTAAGTTCCTAGGCCTTTACTATTAACTATATATAAAGACCTATATATATATATATACACTAGGTTACTACTTATACTAGTAAAAATTAAGGTAGTCTTGTTTTATATAGATTACTATATTACTTATAAGGATTATTATCTAGGGTAAATAGGTATAGCCTTTATATAAGGGACAGCCTTGCCTTCCCCTAGCTATACTATACTTAGAGGTAGTTTAAGTAATATAGAATACCTTTAGTAAATTAGCTTAAGTGTTAACTACCTATAAGTATATTCTCTAGGTTAGTGTCCTTATAGCTAGGGCTTTATAAGCTATAAGTATCTTTTTATTTTACTTATAGGGAAATATATATACTCTATAGAGGATAATCCTCTAGCTAAGGGTATACCTTAGCTAGTGCTTTACCTTAGGCTAGCCTTACTTTCCCCTAAGCTAAGGGATAAAAGCAGCAAAGGATAAGTTATTTATAGGTAAAAATAGTAGCTTAAGGAGGTTAGTACTACCTTTACTAAGGCTAAAAAGTAAAGTTTATATAATAGCCTATCTATAGGTTATAAGTATAGACTATACCTTAGGTGCTAGCTAGTGCTATAGATATAAGTAGTAGAAATATAGAATACCCCCTAGAGTAATATAGTAAACTATAGGTAAAGAGGATAGTTCTAGCTATAGGAGAAGATATATAATAAAATAAATATAAGGATAGCCTAAGGACAAGATAAAAGAGAGATTAGGGTCCTTGCTAAGCTAACTATTATTATATAGAGAATACTTAAATAAACTATCTAAGGTAATAGTCTATAGGTAAGTACTTCTTTATATCTAGATAAGTATTAATAGACTTTCTCTATATTATATTATATATAGGTTAGTTATAAGTATAGACATTAACTTATACTCTTTCTTAGTGTATTATTTATATAAATAAGCTTACTATTAGGATTTCTCTTTAGTTACTATCTAATATTACACTTCTGCTATTAGGTTTCTTATAAATAGGCTACTATATAAGGTAAATAGTTAGCCTAGGTAGAACTCTATAGAGTAAGATAGGATAATAAGTTAAATAACCCTAGAAAGAGAGACTAGTAAGACTATAGAGAAAATAGTTACCTAGGCCCTCTTTTAATAACCTTTTTACTATAGTTATAGTTATACTATATAATATAACTCTAGTGTTAAGTCTATAGTATATTACTTTTAAATAATATATTTTTTTATTATAGCTATAGGATCTATAATATAGCCTATAGGTCTTATATAGTAGCGTTTATATAGAAATATATATTATATCTTTGTTATAAGGTACTAGTTCTAGTGTATAGTTTTCTTAATAAAGGTTATAGGTTTCTATATTAAAGTTATAGGTCTTAGCTAGTAATATTTATATAGAAATATATATAGTATTCCTATTATAGGATATAAATTCTAGTGTATAGTTTTCTATATTATAGTTATAGGTCTTAGCTAGTAGTATTTATATAGAAATATATATAGTGTTCTTGTTATAGGATATAAATTCTAGTATATAAATATTATACTAAAGGTTATAGGTTTTTATATTAAAGTTATAGGTCTTAGCTAGTAACGTTTATAAGGAAACATATATAGTTTTCCTACTATAAGATACTAGCTCTAGTGTATAGCTTTCTTAGATAAGGTTGTAGGTCTTTATATTAAAGTAATAGGTCTTAGCTAGTTATATTTATATAAGAATATATATAGTGTCTTTGTAATAGGATACTAGTTTTAGTGTATAGGTTTCTATATTATAGTTATAGACTTCTATATTAAAGTTATAGATTTTAGCTAGTAATATTTATATAGAAATATATATAGTGTTCTTATTATAGGATATTAGTTCTAGTGTCTAGCTTTCTTATATAAGGTTATAGGTTTCTATATTAAGGTTATAAGTCTTAGCTAGTTATGTTTATATAGAAATATATATAGTATTACTATTATAAGATACTAGTTCTAGTATATAGCTTTCTTAAATATATATAAGGATAGCCTAGAGATAAGATAAAGAAATAGATTAGGGTCCTTACTAGGCTAGCTATTATTAGATAAAGAACACTTAGATAGACTATCTAAGGTAATTATCTAGAGGTTAGTACTACCTTATATTAAGATAAGTATAGAAAAAACTATCTCTATATTATATTATATATAGTTTAGTAAAAGGCATTAATATTAACTTATGCTCTTTTTAGGTATATTATATAGACTTTTTTAGCTAAGTATTAACTAGTTAATAAAATATATAAGGTCTCTTTAGAAGACCTCTATTAACTTCCTTAGTGCCTATAACAGAAAAGTAAAAAGCTATTATTTAGATTATATCTTAGCTATACCTCTTGTAGTATATTATATAAACTAGGTAGGTCTATACCTTTTGTTTAAAAACTAGCTTAGCTTTCTAGGATTAACTTTACTATATATTCCTAGAATAAGATTCTTCTAGGTTATAGCTATAGTAATATAAAAAAAGGCATTAGGTTAGGTGTCTAAAAATAGATTATAGGTTTTATAAATAACTACTATATTTAGAACTATACCTAAATTTAAGTTTTATCTTTACCTAGTGCTTTATTATATCTTTACTACTATCCTAATATATAGTGCTATATACTATTAAAATTTACACTCTAGACTTTAGCTATCCTTTACTATTATATTAGTTATAAAGTAATACTATTATACCTTTTTTTCTTGCTTACTTTCTATATATGTCTATAATTTACTAATAGCTCTACCTTTTTATCTATTTTAATCCTTCCTAATCTTATAACACTTATTATTATTATTATAGATATATCCTAAAAGGCCTTACTTATAATATTAAAATTTTTTACTAGGTCCTACCTTCTATATAGTTACTTCTGCCTTTTTATTTTTAACTTACTTAGTTATTTTACTTTACTTTATATTTATTATTTTTTACTAACTTTCTTACTAACCTAATTTTACTATAAAACTATAACTACTATTAATATATTACTTTTACTGTTGTATTAATATTTAATAATATTACACTAGCCTTATCTTTAATATATCCTTTCTCTCTCTACTAATGTAGCTTAGGTACATAAGAATAGATAATTTCTCTATTAAGTTAAACTTTAGCTTTTTCTTTCTTTAGTATCCTTTACTTTATATAGCTTAACTATCCTTGTTAGTGTTAGTTATTCTCTTTATTACTTAATTATTAAGTCTACTTTAACTTAATTATATTAGATAAAATACTCCTTTTTTTCTTTTACTTTTACTTCTTTTTTCTCTTTAATTAATTTTACTTTATACTTTTTAAACATTAGTCTTTTTTTTTTACTAAACTATATTTTTAGGGTTATACTATTTTACTTACTACTAAATCTTATCTTCTTTTTACTATATTTATAAACTCTTACTTATATTATATTTTTAGATTATTAACTACTAGGTATAATTCTTATTAGAGAGCCCTTTATTCCTATTATATAATTAAAGCACTACTACTTAGTAGCCTCTAAGTTTCCTATTATATTAATAACTACTAGTCTTAATAGTAGTATAATAAAGATAAAATAAGTAGTTAACTTAAACCCTAATATATTATTAATTATATTATTAAAATTAAGGAAGAGAGCCTAGCTTTTAATACTATACCTATAGGTAATATTTTTATATCTAATATTATGCCTTTTAAAAAGCCCTATAAGAAGATATTTTTTCTTAAGAGATCTTTTAATAGCTATCTTTGTCTTAATGTCCTTGTTAAGATAAGGACTAGCTGCCTTTATCTAGGTATAAACAAGGCTAAATTTATAATCTAGGAAATATACAAGGACATTTATATCTACTAGAAAGCTAGTCTAGAGATTAAGTTATTATAGTCTATTAGGAATATAAAGTATATAGACCTTATATCTCTAATGTCTTATATTAAATATACCTTTACTAAGAAAATATATAGGTTTATTAGTATATATAACTCTAATAGTTAGTTATAAGTACTTAAGCTTACTATTAGTAGTACTTCCTTAAAACTATATTAAGATAAAGACAAAAATAACTTTATTTTCTACTCTAAGTAAGCTATAAGAGTTAAACACTTTATAAAGTAAATAAAGATTAATCTATAGATAATATATAATAAGTACTACTAGAAAGTAAACCTAGGAAATATTAGAAACTAGTGTACTAGATATATTAAAAAGAAACTAGTAATATATATTATATAGACTTTCTTAGCTAAGTATTAACTAGTTAACAAGATATATAAGGTCTTTCTAGAAGACCTTTATTAACTTTATTAGTGCCTATAACAAGAGAACAGTAAGCCTTAATTTAAATTATACCTTAGCTATACCCCTTATAGTATACTCTATAAACTAGGCAAATATATACCCTTTGTTTAAAAACTAGCCTAGCTTTTAGGGGTTTACTTTATAATATATTCCTAGGAGGAAAATATAATCCTAGATAGATTAGTCTTATCTAGATATATACCCTAAGAAGTAGAGAAGATTAGACCTTAAGATATAGTAGAAATTTATAGTGCCTATAATAGTAAGGATAATAACTTTAAGGTGTTTCTTAATAAGGCTAAAGCCTAGATAAATATTATCTTTAATAGTTTTAAGGAACTACTACCTAAAACCTTAGGTAGAGCTACTTAATAACGTTTTACTAAGTCTATTTATAGGTTTAATAATATTAAGAAACCTAGGCTATTAACCTTAGTTTTTAAGGACGTATTTTAGTAGGTAACTATATATAGGTGTATATTAGTAACTTTAAGAAGACACTTTTAGGAGGATATAACCTTGCTTAGCTTTTAGTAGTAATAGTCTATAGCTTCTAAGGATAAGTAAGATTAGTAGGCTTAGAAGCTTTAGGTAGGATAGTAGCATTTAGTAGTCTTAGCTAGTAAAGCTATATAGTATTTTATATATAAGTCTAGTACTTTAGATTTATATACTAGGGTAGTAACTAATAATATAGTATAAGGAATATCTATACTTATAGGTTACTTAGGTAGTTTACTTAACTTTAGCTAGCTACTAAGATAATAATACTCTTTATAACCTTAAGGTATAGTAAAGTTATTATTTAACTTTTAAATTAGATATATTAGTTAAGATAAATAATATTAGCTAGGAGAAGGGTATAGGTTAGCCTAGAGTTTTAGTATTATGAGCTGTTTTATACTCTTTATGTTAAAAAGCCTAGGCTTATATTACAGTTACTATATATAGCCTATAGTTAGAAAAGTTATATAATAAAAGGCTTAAGACATTAAGATTAGTTAGGTTAATTATACTATATAGATAATTATATAACCCTTGTATAGCTAGGCTTTTTTCTTTACTATAAGTCTTATTATAAAAATAACTAGTGTATATTATTATATAGCTTTATAGTATACTTCCTAATATATAACTATAAATATAATATAAATAGACTATATATATACTATAGTCTCTCTAGTAGTTAGTTAGTTAACTATAGTTATTTAGTAAAAGAATAGTGCTTAAGTATATATATTATATATTAGCTATAGTAGCTAGAGCTAATACTAAAGGCTTTTCTTATATTATATAGGCCAAGGAAATATAACTTAGTGCTATTAGAGTGTCTAGTGTAGCTTATACTAATAGTAATTTATATAAGTAAAAACTAATAACTACTTAGAATTATATAGTTATATATATATATATAAAAAATACTTTATATTACTAATAGGGGGCACTAATTGTCTAGTAAGAGATAAAGATCTTATAGTATAATTTTATAGATTTACTTTTTTTAGTTACATTATATCTTACTATATAAACTATTAGTAGAGTAGACTTTCCTTAACTAAAAAAGTAAGTTAGTACACTCTTATATATTATTTATTAGACTACTAGATAATATATTTAATATTAGAAATAATTCTTTTATATTATTTTCCTCTTGCTAGTTTTCTTTTTCTTTTAATAGTTATATTCTTATTTAACCTTAAGGGAAACCTATTTTAGCTACTTATATATCTTAGCTATAGGTAATAAGCTTACTATTAGTGTTTCTCCTAGGTAGCCCTATAGTGTTATAGCTCTACTATTAGGCTTCTTATAAATAGACTAATATATATAGTAGACAGTTACCTTTAGTAGTACTCTATAAAGTAAGATAAGGTATTTAGTTACCTAGAAGAAAAGGCTAAGGGGACTATAGAAGAGAAAGTTACCTAGGCCCTCCTTTATAAGCCTCTTTCCTATATAGTTATACTATAACATATAACGTTAACTCTATAATTAAGTATTACTATAGTGTCTTAATCCTAGGTTATAGGTCTTTTTATTATAATTATAAGGTCTAAAATATAGTTTATAGGCCTTAGTAAGTAGCGTTTATATAGAAATATTAATAACTTTCCTGTTATAGTATATAGATTCTAGTGTATAGTGTCTTTATTAAGGCTATAAGATCTAGAATATAGTTTATAGGTTACTATATTAGAGTTATAGGCCTTAGCTAAGAATATTAGTATAGAAACATTTATAGTATTCTTGTTACTAGATATTAATTCTAATATATAGCTCTATTTAGTAAAATTATAGGTTTTTATATTAGAGTTATAGGTCTTAGTAAGTAATATTTATATAGAAATATATATAGTATTTTTATTATAGGATATAGTATTCTTGTTATAGGGTATAGGTTATAGTGTACTATTCTCTTTAATAAAAGTATAAGTTTATATATTAAAGTTATAGGTCTTAGCTAGTAATATTTATATAGAAATATATATTATATTTATATTACTAAGTACTACTTCTAGTGTATAGCTTACTTCTTTATATTTATAGGTTTCTGTATTAAAGCTATAGGTCTCTATATTAAGAGTATAGGATCTAGAGTGTAAGGTAGAGATTTCTTTCTTAGAGTTATAAGATAAATATTCTATGTTATAGCTTTATATAATAAGTTTATACTTCTCCTTTTACTTTAGTATAATAGGAATATATAGTTATCTTTAAGTAATAGCTTAAATAGATAAATATAATACCTCTTAGAGGCTAGTACTATATATACTTACCCTCTTTTTATATTAATATATTTATTCTACTTCTATAAAGATATATTTATTCTGTTTCTTAAAAAAAAACATATCTACTGCTTAGTAGCTTATATTTAAAAATATTACTATAGAAAACAGGGTTTAATTTAAGTTTAAACTAAATTATCTATATTTATATATAGTTCTTTACTTAATAAGGTCTAGTATACGTTATAGTATATAAATCTAAGATAAGATTAACTATATTCTATATATCTTCTTGTTATATAAGAAACCCTTAATTAATTAGGTTAATAACCTTATAAAGAATTACCTTTTCTTTATTATAACCTAACAAGTTATAGGTAATATTACCCTACCTAATAAGATAGCTAGTAGGCAGTAATAGTATTTATATAGAACTAATAGATAGGCGTAGACAGGATAACTCCTATAGATATAAAAGAACTATAGTATAAGTTATATAATAATAAGATTAGATAAGATCTATACATTAAAAATACAAAAGCTATATACTTAGTATATAGGCGCTATATAGAAAATATACAGGGGTAGAATTTAGATATATAGCCCTATACGCTAATAAAAAGTATAAACTTATATATAGGATAGACTTAGATATACTTAAGGATAGACTTTTATAGCTCTTTAGTAATTAACTTCTTATAATATAATTTATTTAAATAACTTTTAGTATTTAACCTTAGTAATTTAATTAATAAAGAGCTATATAAGCTATAGTTATAACTATTAACTACCTAACTAGTTATTAAGTAATTAATAAGCTAGTAAGCCTATATTACTGTTAACTAAGTATTAACTCTAGCTTATTCTTAGTAGAAAACCCTACTATTAGATTACTAACTATAATACTTTTTTACTTCTAATATTGTTTTTATTTTTAGGTATATCTTAGCTTATAAAAGTATACTAATATATTATATCTAAAGGGTTAATTAAAGAACCTTAAAGGTAATAGCTACTCTATATATAGATAGTTCTAGGTTTTTTTTAAATAGCTTAGAGGCTATAAATAATATAGCTATCTTTATAATAAGAGTTTATATTTATATATAAGAAAAGTAAGTATAAAGGTTAATAAGGTAGAAGAGTAATAGATATATATAGCTTACTATAATATATAGCTTACTATATCTATATATTATTGTTGTAAAAAACAACGCTGTTAATTATAGGCAGTAATTAACGCCCTATATTACCTTATATAACAGTTATATAAGGATATTTATATAAAAATAAATACCTATTATACTCTATAGAGTAGAGGTCCTATGTTATATAGGTAAAAGCACCTATATAGAAAATAGAAAACACTTTTACCTTTTTACCTTTTACTCCTTTACCTTTTACTACTCTCTAGCTTTAAACTAGTATAACTATTTTTATAGTTATTTAAATAATAATATCCTTCTAGGCTTAGACTTTTTTACTATAATAGCTTAGGATACTAACCTTAAGTAACCTTAACACTTTACTATTTATATTATAATTATTACCTATCTATTATCTTTTAAGTATATATATACTAGTAAAATAGTAATTTTACTAGTTTATATATATATATTAAAGCACTAGAAGCCTATAAGAACTAGACCTTTTAGGTATAGCTAGATACTTAGACTAAAAGGTTCTAGACTATCTTAACCCTAGGTTATTATTATAATAACCTATACTATATCCTTTTTATATAGGCTATATATATTATAGGATATAAGCTTTATAAAGTGTCTATATAACCTAAGGGTA